GAACCGAACCGCTGCTCGCGTCGCGCTGCGAGGATGGACGCGAGGAGCCAGGGCCCGGCACAGCGCTGGAACTCGCCTCGACCACCGCGGAGTAAAGCTAGCCCTTTCCTATGCGTTCTCTGCGAGAAGACAGTCGGGGCGTTGACCTAAGGAACCCTAAATAAGGAACAAGGCCATTTTTTTCCATAAGTTAAACTTCGATGTCCGATCGAAAACATAAGGAAAACCTGAGGCAAGCTGCGAAACACTTAAGGAACGCGGAGCCCCTCCCCAACGAAAAGGGTTCCTTCTTCAGGGCCCCGACTGTACCCGTCTCTCTCTCTCGACGCCTCCGGAGCCGCCCGATCGGCATGGGGGCCCCGCGCGAGAAGCTTGACAAGTTGAGGCCTCGCTTCATCGGGGGACGCGCCCCCTCCAAAAATGTCAAGTTCCATTCGTCTGGGCGAGAGAGAGAGAGAGAAAGAGAGAGACAGAGAGAGAGAGAGAGGAAAAAGGAGAGAGAGCGTGCGAGAGAGAGAAAGAGAAAGAAACAAAGAGAGAGAGAGAGAACGATAACGAAAACGAGAAAGAGAGATAATGAGGGAGAGAAAGGGAAGGATTTACACATACATATTTATCTATAGAGAGATATTGAGAGAGAGAGAGAGAGAGAAAGAGCGAGAGAGAGAGAGAGAGAAAAAAAAAAAACACAGAGAGAGCGAGAGAGAGAGAGAGAGAAAGAAAGAGAGAGAGAGAGAGAGAAATAGTAAGAAAGGAAGAGAAAAAGAAGAAGAGAGAGAGAGAGAGAGATAGAGAGAGAACAACAAACAACAGAGACATAAAAGGGAGAAACACCAGAGAGAAAGAGGAGAAGGACAAACATGAGAGAGCGAGAGGAGGAGAGAGAGAGAGAAACACAAAGCAAATATTAAAGAGAGCGACAGACAGAGAGAGAGGGGGAGAAAGAGAAAGAGAGAGAGAGAAATAGAAAGAGAAAGAGAGAGAAGGAGAGACAGAAAACATACAGGAACATAACGAGAGACATAGAGAGAGAGAGAGAGAGAAATAGAGAGAGAGAGTGAGGGATAGAAATAGAGAGAGAGAGAGGGAGAGGGAGGGAGGGATAGAGAGAGAGAGGGAGACAGAGAGAGCGAAACAGACAGAGAGGGAGAGAGAGAGAGAGGGAAAGGAAGAAAGAAATGGAGAGATATAGAGAAATAAGGAAAACCAGAGAGGAAGAGGAAGAGAGAGAGAGGGGGAGAAGGAGAAAGACAGATAGAGAGAGAGAGAGAGAGGGAGAGAAAGACGGAGAGGGAGGGAGACAAAGACAAAGAGATAGAGAGAGAGAGAAGAGAGAGACAGAGAGAGAGAGAGAGAAGAGAGAGAGAGAGGGAGAGAGACAGACCCTTCGCGGGGACCCGGTCGACAGCCAAGTCTGCGCGAGCCGCGCGCCCCGTCGGGTCTTCGCTGTCACTGCGGCCAAATCCCAGCGGGCGCTCTCGAGCAGCCTTTTTCCTGCGACTAGGGACTGGCCATCGCTCGGACGTCCATTTCCTGTGCTTTTTTCGGTTTCGTGCGTGTTTTTTTCGCGAAATGGTCAAGGATGCTCCTCGATGGTCCTCGCCGAAGGAAAAAATGCACACGTCCGAGCGATGCCGAGGGGATCGAAACGGGCGGCGGTGGCGTCGGCCCCCTCCTCGCTGGTCAAGGACTCGCCACCAAGGTCCTCGAGCCCCCGCTGCAAGTTAGCAGCGAGAGAACGGAAGAGACGGTCCGCATGCTGGCGAGGCACGCCGTCCGCCAAAGCGCGCCATCTCTGGATCTTGCGGCGCCATATACTATGAACGGGCCGCCCGGCCCACTTGTCTGGGTCTGAGAAATATCGGCCCTCCTCGTCTGCCTCGGACTTTCTGTCGTTGGTCCAGGGCCATACGTCGCCATTCTCTGTCCATGGCCGTTCGTCGTCGCACGCGCAGCGTGAGCTTGGGCCCCCCACGAGGCAGCAACTAACGAACCTCACCGCGACGACTGACCCCACGACTTGGAGGAGTAGCTCCCGGCGTGGTCCCACACGCTCGGACGCCATGATGCCCAGCCGCTCGTCCAGGAAGGGCCTCCAGGTGACGCTGTCGACCCAGCGCGTTCCCGAGAGGACCACGTGTCACTGCGCCGACCTTGCAAACGTGCTGCAGCGGATTTTGGCGTGGATTCCTGCCAATGCAGGACCCCGAATCGGCGAGTGAAGAACGACGCGAATTACGCGTGGATTCTTGAATCTTCATGCCTGGCCAAACAAAGATTCGCACGACATTCAGCTCGAACTCCAGAACAACATTCTCCAGGACATTCCAGACCCATCCTACCGTTCTCCGAACGAGCTCCGCTCTGCGATGTTGGCGCGATGACCATGAAGAGTTCGACCAACGCTGACATTGGAACGACGGAAACGCGGGTCCTCCGCCCGACATTGTCCCCTATCATCGCCCGCGGCCTCCACGGATCTGCTCTCGTCGTATGGCAGAGATCTGGCGCACGCGCTGGTCTTGGCCTCCCGGGGCCCGGCGTCAGCGAGCCTCTCGTCCTCTGGCAGCGTCCCGACGCCGCCCTTTGGGCCCACCTGGGCACTCGCCACGCCGCGGCTTCCACAAGTCCCCATGGAGGGCTCTCTCACCTGTTCCTGGACGACAGGAACAGCCATCCCCTCGTAACATCGAAGACCCGCTTGTCCGAGAATGTGCACCACTACCTGCCCGGGCGTCCGTGCCCCTGCAGTCTCGGGCCCACCCGGATGCTCGTTGATCGTTGCTTGTGTCTGCCGCCGCGGCCATGGCCCGCAATCGCGAAGTTGACCACAGCTCCGCTACCACTGTCCCCCCACGGGCGACAGCAGTGACGATAGATAGTGTCCAGATGATATTCCATTCGCGAGATTGTGCTGACGAGCGCTCCAGCACACAGCGCGCAACTCCTGCAAACAAGCGTAGGAGAAAGGCAAAAGGACAATAAGTAGAGAAGATAGGTCAGAGAGAACGGGTATGGTGAACATTGCGCTACAGCGCTTACGACACTCCATATGAAGCCCAGGGCGGTCTGTCCAAAAGAATGATACGATGAAGCATGGGTAGACGAAGCCATTCCTTCATGCCGCATCGTCACCGCCATCGTCGTTGTCATCCTCGTCGTACGCGCCGTCATCATGGTCATCACCAACAGCAGCAAAGCATCCTCATCCCCATCACCACCACCATCATCATCCCCAACATCATACTCATCATCATCACCATCCCCATGGCCGACCCTCATGCTCATCCTCTCTTCATTGTCCTCATCATCACCATCATCAAGAACATCATCATCGTCGTCGTCATCATCTATCATCATATGCACCCTCGTCCCTGACGTCACTATCACCATAGTCATCGGCATCATCAACACAACACGATCGTCCACACCATCGTCGCCGCTGTCGACCTGACGCAACCACCACCAGCGTCACCGTCGGCATCGTACCATCACGTGTCATTGCCATCACTGTGGTCGTGCCATTGGCGTCGCCATCCCCCTCCTCATCATAGCATCATCCTCACAGTACTCCTCAAAATCCCTTCTCCCCCACTTCCTCTGGGGCGGGGGGTCGGTGTGGGAAGGCAGGGGCATCGGGAGCGGAAAGGAAAGCGGGGCGGCAGAATGTCGGCCTGGTATGGCTATGCATCCACCTCCTGTTCGCCATCTTCTAAATCATTCAATGCAAGGTCATCACCCTTCCTTTTTCCATCATAATCTGAATAATTATCAACGCAACCATCCTTCACATTCGCACCCGAAGACTCCTCCGCCTCATTCGCGTCATCCTCCTACTGCTACCCCGTATCATTCACATCATCACCGCCACCACCACCACCGTCATCGTGATGTTCCTGCTCCTTGTCGTATTGCTAGTCGTCATGATGACCATCACCACCATCATCATCATCATCATCATCATCATCATCACCAGCATCACCATCATCATCGTCATCAGCATCCTCATCATCAACATCACGTTCATCATCATCACCATCATCATCATCATCAGCATCATCAACATCATCACCATCGTCATCATCATCGTCGTCGTCGCAGCAATCTCCGCCATCGTCGTGATCGCCGTCATCGTTATCGTCAAAATCACCGCAAGTCGCCATCATGATTGCCATCATGATCGCCAGTATCAGCCTCTCCAAGGTCCGCCTGCTCTGCGATTGGTCTTCGGCAAGGGGGGAGGCGGGGCGCCACCCATGCCGACAGTCCCACATCGAAGCCCAGCGCGGGCAAACATGGCCGCGCGACGTCGACCCCGGTCGGTCCGCGCCACCCGCCGCCAAAAGCCAGACCCTGGCCGACGGGCGCGGACAGGTTGACGTTCACCCCCGTCGGCGGGGGGGGGGATCCTCCGCGCTCGCTACCAAGCGCAGGGTGCTCATCGTCCTGCTCCTCCTGCTGAGCCCTGCCACCCTGCTCCTCCTGGACCTCTTCATTCGCTTCGGGCTCCTAAGGCCCCAACCTCCCCCTGCTCTTCACATTGCTTCTGCTGATGCGTCCACTCATCCTCCTCCACCTCTACCTCCACCTTCTCCTCAGCCACCATCACCATCACCCGAACCACCACCACCACAACAATCATCATCGGCATCGGCATCGGCATCGGCATCGGCATCGGTATTAGCATCATCATCATCATCATCATCATCATCATCATCATCATCATCATCATCATCATCATCATCATCATCATCATCAGCATCAGCATCAGCATCATCAGCATCATGATCATGATCATGATCATCATGACCCTTAGCATTACCATTACCATTACCAGTACCATTGCCATTACCATTATCACCGTCATCATCATCATCATCATCATCATCATCGTCATCATCACCATGAACATCAGCATGATCATCATCATCATCAGCATCATCACAATCGTAGTGTCATATCTCTGCATTGGCCGCTGCTGCTGCTCTTCCTTCGCGGGCCTGTTTGAGCTTCTCCGCCAGGTTCTCCTTCAGGGAGGCCTCCATCCTGTTCCTGTGGGTACGCGGGGGCGAACCACTGGACACAGCCCTGTCATTTCTCCCTCGAGGCGGTGAACGAGGGCCTCCTCCTTCTTCTCCTCCTGCCGTTGATCATCATCACCACCATCAGCATCACCATCCTGATCGAATGTGTCTTATGTGCAGTGGTCCGCATCATGAGCATACTCATCACCACCCTTACCGCCACCAGCATCAGCATCACCACCATCATTGTCATCAATCTCTGCGTCAGCATGACCACCACCACCATCATTGGCATCGTCGTCATAATCCTCAGCCGCACCAACACCATAATCATCGTCATTAACAGACCTGGTAGCATAGCATCGTCACCATGACCATCTCAACCATCATCGCTGGTACCAGCGCTACAAAAATCAGGATCATGACTACGATCCTGAGTATGACAACCATCATCATTATCATCATCATCAGCATCATCATCAGCATGATCATCAACATCACGTTCATCATCATCATCATGAACGTGATCAGGATCGTCATCACCATCACCATCACCATCCTCATCATCGTCATCATTATCGTCAGCATCGTCAGCATAGTCATCAGTAACATGACTAGCACCAACAGTAGCAGCAGCGGCAGCACCATTATCCCAATCACCACCACCACCATCATCATCATCATCATCATCATCGTCGTCGTCGTCGTCGTCGTCGTCATCGTCGTCAACGTCATCGTCGTCGTCATCATCAACACCGTCATCATCGTAATCAGCATCAGCATCATCATTCACACCATTGACACCATCATCATCATCATCATCAACACAATCAGTATCAGCATCCCATCCTACTCGGAATCAAACTCATCAGCAGCATCATCATCGTAATCGTCATCATCATAAGCAGCGTCATCATCCTCGTCATCATTCTAATAATGATCATGATAATGATCCTGACCACCATCATCATCATCATCAGCAGCAGCAGCATCATCACCATCGATGCCAACCCGAGCTGGTCCTGTCGTCCAGCTCGTCCGCCGCCGACCTGTGGTGTTGCCTCAGATCCACGCACGAGTCGCACACCCGCTCCTTCGCGCTGCTGGGGCCCTGGGCGACGGCAACAGCGACGGCGACGACGGCGGCGGCTGAGTCGAGTCAGAAGATTAATACACCTGATCGGGTCGAGTCGAGCCGAGTCGAGTCGGCGGCGGCTGAGTCGAGTCAGAGGAAAAAGAAGAGCAATGAAAAGAGTCAGACGAGGAACACAGTCATCGTCCTAGCATCAGGTCGGGCGTGTCCCCCTAGAGGCGGATCTGGGACGAGGAATAAGAGATGCCCCAAACGTGCACCAGGAGTGCCCCAAAGTGGTCAAGACATTGCCCCAGTACTATTCCTGGACACTTTGTGAGACTCCTCCTCCTGCAGAACAAAACAGGGCTAGGATCGGGATAAATCGCTCCAGAGCGTCCTGGAGCGCTCTCAGAGCGTTCCGGAACGCTCTGGAGCGGCCGCGGCGCCCAATACATCCTCCGAACCCGCCGATTCTCAGAGATTTCGAGTTATCCCGATCCGATTTTGTCCCGATCTTCGCGTCGTTTTAGCCAGGTCGCGACCCGCGCGACCTCGTCCGGCAGGAACCCGATCTCGTCGCGGCAGCCGGAGGGCGCCGGCCGCCCGCGGCGCGCCGCCGCAGCGGGAGAGAAGGCGCACATCCTGACCCACGGCGCGCCGGAGGAGGCACGGAGGGCCTCCCCATGGGTCAGGGCCGGCCTCGGCTCCGAGCGGGCTCCCCGGACCCCAGGTCCCCGAGGAGCGGCCCGAACACCGCCGCCCCTGCTGCGCCTGGAGCGATCCTTCTTCTTCTTCTTCCTCTTCTTCTACTTATACTTATACTTATACTTATACTTATACTTGTACTTATACTTATATATATATATACTTATACTTCTTCGTCCTCCTCCTCCTCCTCCTCCTCCTCCTCCTCTTCTTTCACACGCGCCTCGGGTGACCCCGATGGTCCTCGGACGCCAGCTCGTCCCTTCCCGCGCTCCCTACAGGCAGAGTGCACACCGACCCAGGCGATGTTCGCCGCTGTGCGCACAAGCGTGGCCGTAAGGCCAAAATCGAGCGAAGGAGGGAGGCATCCTTCTTTCATCGGGGCGATCGGCATGGGTACGGAAGGAATAGGCACGATGCCCAACAGCAGCAATGCCTGCCCATTTTCAACGAGGCTCGCTGTCCGCGCCGCCGCGGACGTTGTTCACTGACCCTGCGAGGCCGGAGCGATCCTCCCTTTATCGGGACGATCGACATGGGTACGGAAGGAATGGGCACGATGCCCAGCAGCAGCAGCCTGCCCATTTTGAGCGAGACTCACTGTCCGCGCCGCCGCGGACGTTATTCACTGAAGACACAAAACCGCCTGCCCAACAGCGGCCGCTGTCGGTTTCGGACAGCATTCGTTGCTGGGCGCTGTGCCCTTTTGTTCCGTACCCACTACGGGCGTCCAAATCTTAGCGTCTTGATCGTGTGCAGGAGGAGAAACACAAACCATGTGAAGACGATGAAGAGAAGAAAGAGGGATAACTACAGTCATCGGCCTGACCTAAGGAACGATTAATAAGGAACGAAGCCCCCCTTTTATCCCAAGGAATTACGCATAAGGAACGATAAATAACAAATAACGCATAAGGAACTGTAAATAGCGCATGTAAAATCTAGGGAACGACCGAGCCCCTTTTGAAAAGCAAGTGTTCCTTAATCAAGCCCCTCACTGTACAGACACAGAAGACTCTTGGAGGTCCGAGCGGATTTCTCGGGTCGGCGCTGGACCCCCACCTCCTGGCGCGCGGGGCGCGCCAGCGGCGGCGCCACAGGCGCCGCCAGCGGCGGGGCCCAGCGCAGACCCGACAGACCCGCGCTTGCCTCCGAGCGCCTATGCCTATGCCGTTTCTCCGTCGACCGCGGTCCGAAGACTCGCGCGCCCCTTCCATCATTGAGCAAGTCCTGGCCAAGCGCGACAGACGCACCGCATCGCCGAGGCGCACACGCGACGTCGGCATCGAGCACGCCCTGGACAGGCGCGGAAAACGCACCGCATCGCCGACGCACACCCGCGACGTCGGCATCGAGCAAGCAGGGCTTTGCAGCGCGCGCGCACCGCCGTATCCCCTCGAGGGCTGCTCCAGCCATCCAGAGGAGGAGGAGGAGGAGGAGGAGGAGGAGGAGGAGGAGGAGGAGGAAGTTCGATGAGGAGGAGGAGGACGTTCGAGGAGGAGGAGGAAGTTCGAGGAGGAGGAGGAGGATGAGGAAGAGGATGGGTGCGATCCTTCGCCCCCGTGTGTGCTGGCCGGGGCGCTCTGGAAGAGGTGTCGGGGCACTTCCTGGTGCGCAGCAGAAGGGGGGGCCAGGAGGAGGGGGCTCGCAGGATGGCCCGGGAGGAGGAGGAGGAGGAGGAGGAGGATAAGGAGGAGGAGGATTAGGAGGAGGAGGAGGAGGAGGAGGAGGAACAGGAGGAGGAGGAGGAGGAGGAGGAGGAGGAGGGAGGGGGGGACATAAGAGCCCACGAGCCCTCTTGGTGTGAGCGGTTTAGTGGGCTTCCTCTTCCGGCTTCCCTCTTCCCCTTCGGGGGGAGGTTTCACCTCCCCCTGCCCGCTCCCCCTGGGTCTGGAGGGGGGAAGGCGCTGGTCGTTGGAGCGTCCAAGATGGCCCAGGATGGCTCCAAAAGGGCCTCAGGGAGCCAAGAGGCCCAAGATCAAGATAGGCCAGAAGTTGTGTGTTGCAAGGACTCAGGATTGTGAGGGCGCAACAGTCATGTAGAATCGCGGGGCTGGAGTCACAGCAATGGTGTCCTGGCACGGCTCGGGATCGCCAAAACGCGAAAGGTCATGTTGATCCACAATGATATTTTGGCACGCTTCAGGGTTTTCGGTTTTCAAACGGTTGTTCAAGGCCCAAGATTGCTCAAGATGGCATTCAAAAGATCCAAGAGGCCCCAAGACCGCCCCAAAACGGCTCCCAGTGGCCGCGGAGCCGCCCAAGGAAGCCACCAAGACGCCAGCATCCTTCAACATTCTACAGTCGGCCTTGATTGGACAGGACACGCGAGAGTACACAAGACCCTTCCGAGGGCCACATCGCCATAGGAGTGTAAGATGGCACGTGTCGCGAAGCAAAGGACACAAGGGTACCCTTGAGCTGGCAGGGTCGACCTACTAATCCGGGCCGACTGTAAGGAAAGTCAACTGTTGTTGCCTTCGCGTTCGCCTTCGACGGCCCTCCGAGGCCTCAAGACAGCTTCAAGAAAAACCGAGAGAGAGCCCCAAGAGGACCCGAGAGGGTCCAAGAGGGCCCCAAGAGCGCTGCCAGAGGGGTCCAAGAGGCGGTTCCAAGGGCTCTAGAGGGGGGACCCTGATTGGGGCACGTCCTCCATTGATCGAACTCCTCCAACATACCCAAGACGCACCAAGAGGCCCCCCCCTGGCCGCCAAGAGACCCCCACGACGTCCCAAAGGGACTCCAAGAATCTCTCGAGACATTCGAAGAGACTCCGAGAAGCATCCAAAAATCATCTGGCCTTTCTGATCGCCCTTCTTCGTCTCCTCCTCCTCCTCCTCCTCCTCCTCATCATCATCATCATCCGCCTAGTTCTTCTCCTCCTCCTCCTCCCTCCTCACTCCTCCCCGTCTCCGTCTCCCTCCTCCTCGTCCGACGCCTCCTCTTATCCTCCTCCTCTTGGGGTAGGCGGGCTTCCCCAGCCCTCTCTTCAACTGCATGCTCCCCGCCTGGGCATCGCTCCTGGATGGGCTGGTGTGATTATGCGAAGAATGTAGAATCCGGGGGATAATGGCCCTGGCCATGGTGTTCTCCCCCCATAGAAGGAAACCAAACCTACCTCGCTTTTGACCACCCTCGCTTCCAAGAGATACCAAACGATGCCAAAATACAGCCTGTACTGGTCAGGCCGCTTGACGAGGAGGCGCGTGGTATGACTTGGTTTTGCCTGGAAGCGAAAGCGGGGTAGGTAATTCATGCTCTGACCCCAGGTCCCTACAGTCGGCCTTGATTGGACAGGACGCGCGAGAGCACTCAAGACCCGTCCGAGGGCCACACTGCCATAGGAATGCAGGAGGCGTGGGTCGCGAGATACATAACACAAGGGTACCCTTGATTTGGGAGGGTCGACCTACTAATCTGGGCCGACTGTAGTCGTAAGTCGGGCCTGTCCCCCTACAGGAGGATTTTCGACGAAAATATAAAATACCCCCAAAATAGTCAAATTATCCCGGCAAAGCAACCGAACAGCGATGTGTAGAAGCATATCTGAAAGCATTCCCCTTAAGATTCAAATGAAAATCCAGTTGTAGAATTCTGCTGTTCTCGCAGTCGTAGTCGCATTCGCGATGACAGTCGCAGCGGCAACGGCAGTCGCAGTCACAGCCTCAACCTCAGCCTGCCTCAGCCTCAGCCTCAGCCTGCCTCAGCCTCAGCCTGCCTCAGCCTCAGCCTCAGCCTGCTTCAGCCTCAGCCTCAGTCTGCCTTCAGCCTCGGCCTCAGCCTCAGCCTGCCTCAGCCTCAGCCTGCATCAGCCTCAGCCTCAGCCTCAGCCTGCCTCAGCCTCAGCCTCCTCAGCCTCAGCCTGCCTCAGCCTCAGCCTCAGCCTGCCTCAGCCTCAGCCTCAGTCTGCTTCAGCCTCAGCCTCAGTCTGCCTTCAGCCTCGGCCTCAGCCTCAGCCTGCCTCAGCCTCAGCCTGCCTCGCCGCAGCATCAGCCTGCCTCAGCATTCAAAATGTGGCCCAGGAATGGAGTTCTGGGAACTAGAAGAACACGAAGTGGCCTACAGTTGGCTCCGGGCATTCAAAATCATGCCCAGGAATGGAGTTCTGGGAACTTCGAAGACTGGGAACTCGTGGCCTACAGTTGGCTCCGGGCATCAAAATGTGGCCCGGGAATGGAGTTCTGGGAAGTCGAAGAGCACGAAGTGGCCTACAGTTGGCTCCGGGCATCCAAAATGTGGCCCGGGAATGGAGTTCTGGGAAGTCGAAGAGCACGAAGTGGCCTACAGTTGGCTCCGGGCATTCAGAATGTGGCCCGGGAATGGAGTTCTGG